AATAAGTTAGTGAAGAAACCAACATCATTTTTTTAATTAGAAAATTAGAAACAAACTCATTAGTAAATGATGTCGTTTTCATTATTATATTTTTTTAGTTAGATGTTACGTTAGGAATGAAGTAAGCTAATTTAAATCTACAATTTATAAAGAACGATGCGTGTCAACCTAAGCATAGCTCAACTAGTTAAAGTAGATATTTTCGATCCAAAATCATGAATTTGAATCCTCACCTCGTGTTATACTTAAAAAAAAATACGAACTAGATTTAAGCCACTTAATTTTTTTAAAAAAGAATGTCTCTATAATGTATTTAGTTGTTATAGAAGTAAAAATCACATGAATATGAAGGATAGTAAAAATAAAGAAATGTCTAAGGCAGGCTTTTTTTGTTTTTTCAATTTGTTTTACCCAATATTCTCCCCCAAATTGTTTGATAAAATTGACTATAAATATTAATTAAGATGCTTAAGTGGTGGATTAGCATATCTTGCATTAGAAGTAAATTTATCATTTTTTTAATAGGTAATTTATCAATTTATTTTCTATATTACAAGTGCTTGAAATGAGAGATTTGATCTGAACAACAAAGTAAAGGAGGTGTGTGGGTTTCAATAGATTCTCAATAATGCATTAAAAATGTGGACCATACACAAAAGTATAAGCACCATTTGGTCAAATACACATAAATCATAAATTAATTAAAAAATAGGATTAAGGGAGAGAAAAGCAAGATAATAGCCTGCAAACAAAAACAATATTCTGACATTCTCAGATGGGTGTTTCCTGTTTTTTTTTTCCTAATTATTATTTTTGCTATACCAATGACTCTAGTATGCAATAATTTTATAATTAAAAAGAAAACCTTCCTAACAACATTTGCAAGTAAATGAAATTAAAGAATTAGTTGGGTAGTCATTTAAAAATAATAATAATAATAATTTTTTTAAGATGATTTTAAAACAACCATGAAACCAATAAAAATTTAATAGCTTTTTAGTATTTTGAAAAATTAAAAAAATACCTATGTTTCGCATTTCTCTCCCGTGCAAAAGATGTAGCACCCAAATATTTTTCATCTTAGAATACATATTTCTCCAAAAAAGAGATCTTTGAGAAAAACATAAAGCAGGGACCTAAGTTGAAACCAAATAGGATATAAATGGTCGAGATACAACAAATTTCGGGATGGGATTAAAACGGAATATTTCACTTTTATCGAATAGTAATAAGAGAATATAGAATTGATTTTGGTGTATGAGGAAAAATGCTTTCTTTTTTTTTCTTTTTATTTATGGGAAAGCAAACTAAAGTGAGAAGCAAACAAGAAGCTCTCTCCATTGTCTCTTTAACCATTTAAGAAGACACAACAAAAGAAAGAGAAAATGTAGCAAAGCCAAATACAACCCATAGAGAATAGAGTGAAAAGGAAAGGCTGTCTTAAAGGAAAATTCATGAGAGGAACAATGGGGTGTGAGTTGGAAGATGGGTTCTAGAGAGAGAAAGAGTCATATTTGGTTGTCTTGTTAGAGAGAGAGTGGCTTTTTGTGGGGTCTAAGCAAAGACAAAAATGCTTCATGGCCATTTCCAAGCTCTCTCTCTTTTTTTTTTCTTTTCTTTGTTTGTTTGTCATCTTACAATACACTAATCAAAGTTAGGTTTAAAACTCCAAAATGGGTTTGGAAAAGATCATCAGCAACACCAACTTCTATGCTTTTCTTTTCTTTCTTGGTGGATTTATTCAACTCTCCTATATACAATGCATCAAACATCAAAATATGTATTTTTATTTTATTTTATATAACACATGCAATGCAATGTAAAATGAATATTACTTATCCCCTTTCGATTACGACTTAAATTTTGGCAGGTATTTATTTATTTTAATAAAATATCTCTTCTTTCTTTCTTTCCTTTTACATTTTTTTTTTTACTTAGTCAAAAATTTAACGATGGTCAGCAAGTAAGAATCTCTTGCTTACCAGGTTAAGAGGGAAGTATTTTCTGTGTAAAATTGTAGAATTGAAGGCAACATAAGCCGTTGTGAGGAACTACCTAAATCTTCTTTGATTTCGAGGTTTGAAACTCTCTCGAGAAAGATTTGGAATATCCAAAACAAAATCCAGAGATCTATGAAAGAATGCTAAAAGCGAAGACAACTCTCTAGATCCCTTCCGACGGTAGGACATGACTTAGTGGTTAAGACATCTCGACACCCTCTAAAAAGTTAGGTTCAATCCTTTTTTCATATTTATGTTCATTTACATTCAAAAAAGATTAATTTAACATATAAGAATTTTTATTTAAAAAAAAAATCTGATAATCTAAAATTTAAATAAAATTTGATATGGATAATTATTTAGTGAAGGTTAAGAAAAATTATTATACCCAAAAGAAGGTCTAATAAAAATTGCACATGCTAAATTGAGGGTGAGTTGAGAAAATAAAATTACTCTATCTTGGAGCAAATTTTAAAAAATAAAAAGCACTTTGTTTCTTCTTTTAGAGGTTGATGATGCTATTTTGCTAGTATTTTTGCTTTTACAACAAATTTAAGTTCAATTACCATGAAAAAAAAACCAATTAGAATGATTAATTGGAATGCTTTTTTTCCTAAAAAATATATATATATATATATATATATATATATATATATATATATATATAGAATGATTAATTCAAATTCTTACTCACGTAGAAGTAAGGGCAAACCTTTTCAAAAATAGTCTATATATTAAATAACAAAAGAGAAAAACAAAGTTAAAATACAATTTTAGCCCCTCTCATAGCTTATAATATTTTAATCTATAATAAGTCATTTAAATGTAAAAACTAAATTCATGATATCAAAATACTTTCTTAAATAAACTAATATATCATTCACTATTATTATTGCACACATTTTGAATTGTTATCGGTGAAATTCATGTACTAGGTTGAAGTGAGACTAATGAAGCGATCAGGTCGAACCACCTGATTATGATCGAAATGATAGACCCAACCAGGTCGAACTAATCGAACTCGATCAAGTCAGTACACTCAAACCAATTCAAAGARACTCCCTTTATAAATAAGAAAATATGACAACGGCATAAGGCACGTCCTCCAATCCTACCGCTTACTATTCTCAACTAAACTTTTTGTCTAACTCAAGCATCGAAATGTACTAGACTTAGCACCACACTGATGTATAGGTTGGAGTCAAATTCAAATCCTGCATCAAGATGAATAATACTTTAGATTAACTTTCTATTTCCTAGCACATTGGACGGGTGCAGCCAAATAGTAGACCATTGTATTATTCCCCATCGTTAACCACAAACTCAATCATTTCCTTACCAAAAGATTTATAAAGTTCAAAACGTTACAAAAAAATGTCTTTTAACCTTTTTTCAATTAAACTTAAAAAAAAAAAAAATCATTAACAGATCAAAATTTCTAATATTTATCATCAAGAGTAGGAAATGAAATAACAATGAATAGAGAAGTCATTAAATAATGGAATTAAATCATATTTAATAAAAGTAGTCGTTTCTTTGAATCTTTCAACATTTTTGCTCATCAGCAACCTATTTTAGTTTTCCTTTCTTTGGTTAAATTTGTGGGGGGAGGGGAGGGGGGTCACTGTCATTGACAACAATTCTTAATCAAACACTTAGCCCTCTTTTACTTTTCCTTCAAAAGGAGAAATTAACCACTAAGGCCATAAATAGTGAGTTTATTACCTTTACAAATTCATCACTGGAAAAATGGAAAGTTAAACTAAGCCAGACTTTTGTTGAGGTTAGGAAATTTAAATAACCAAGAAAAAAACCCCCACCTAAAATAACAAAATTTTCTAAAACTTAAAAAAAGAAGGGTTAAATTGCAATTTTCATTTTGAACCCTGCTTTGATTAAAATTTACTGCAACAAAATTTCAACGCAGGAAGTAATTTGTAAATATAACAATGACATGGAATCTAACAAATCACACCAATTAAAAAAACATGAATGCAAGTCAACTTTTAGGCAATATTTGAATTGGAACGTTAAGAAAAAAGCTTATGACTAATCCTATTTTGGAGTGTAGCCACGAATAACTCCCAACTTCAAATTTTTACGCAAATTAAAACTAAAGTTAAAAAAGCACGAGAAATAAAAATTATAATTTGACCCTAAAGAAAAAAACAAATGGAAAGGGTAAAATTTTTCTTTCTTTTTACACAAAAGGTACAAAATTAAAATAAGAAGCTTCATGGTTGGCACAGTTTGCCAAGCCATTGTCCCACGAGAGAGAGAGAGGGTATGGGCCATTTTCAAACAACTCCAACACAAGACGTGGAGATGGCTACAGAGGCTCTGCTGCACGCCCATCAACCACTTTTCTTTTCTCTCTCTCTGTTTTATTATCTTAATTAGCGAGCAAAAATAGGAGGAGAGAATTGAATTAAACATGGAAATCATTTGGGGGGAAGGGAAAACAAAAAAAAAGAAGGGATTTTTTCAAAGATGAAAGAGAGTCATCCTCGAGAAAAGCCAACACCGATTCCAATTCCAACCCCACGAGAAGAGAGGAGGAGGAGGAGAGCAGAATAATAAGGGCAACACAACAGG